ACACACACACACACACACAGACAGACACACACAGACCTGCAGTGACTCAGATAATTAGTGAGTCTGATTTCTTCTTCTTTCCTCTGACAGACGCTGAACCTGTGAAGTTCTCATTATAATCATGAGAACTGTGATGAAGTGACTCGGCACATTCACCTTTATCTAATCCAAGCATTTTACTTTGAAAGGGTGCCGACTTTTATTTTGTTTTCAGCTCACCAGCTTTTTTATGGATGAACCAAACTAAAAATGTCCTCAAACACCAGCTCGTTCCATCATCCAGGAGCCGTCTGGTGATAGTCTGAGAATCGGCCAAAGACATCACTGAGAGGAGATCATCAAATCAGCAGTTTGGATTCACAGCCAGTAAAATGCCCAGATTTTAATCCCATCGAGAGTCTGTGATCAGTCCTTTTAATGATGAGGCGGGATCTCCATCAATCAGGATTTGGCCCAGAGGCTGCACACCACAGAGGACTGCACAAGTAACAAAGATGAGGACTGAAAATACAGACTGTTCACGTATGCCTCATTAAGTTACCATAAACTGTAAAACTTATCGAATGTTTCTGATTGATCTTCACAGAAACATGTGAGAAAGCGAGCGAGCAGCAACTAAACCTCTGCATTAAGGTCACTTTCTAAAAATATTTTAATACAAATTTTTTTTGTGTCTTTTACAGAAAATTTCTTTCAGATTTTCATCCATTAATTTGTCTTCTTATAATCTTTAAGATTTTTTCTTTCCTGTAACTTTATGCTGGGAAAGGTTCAGGAAAAACCTGTTTGCAAACTTTAAACAAATCTACAGTTTTTGTATGAATTCTGTTTTTTCTGTCAGAAACTGTTAAATGTTTATTAAATCAGACTTGTGAGTGTTGCAGAGGAACATGAACATATAACGACCATGTTTCTAACGTCTCGTAACGCCCGTCGCTCTTTGCTCACCAATCTGTCGCTCAAGGTCGGCGGCCTCGTCTGGTGTCGCTCGGGGTAAAATGCCGGGGTCGCTGAAACTTGCCCTGAACAGCATCCCCATCACGAAGATGAAGAGAACGCCACCGACCGCCGGGATGGCCGGGGTCAGGTTGGACGCCAGGAAAGGACAGCTGAGGAAACACGGAGAGAAACATGAGAACAAATGTGAGTTCTTCGGGACACTTCAGGAGGCTTTTCTGTCTCTTCTTCATTTTTTAGCTTCGAGGACAGAAACTGTTTTAAATCACATTTCTGGTGTTTTTTAAATTGAGTGAAAATGGTCGTGCCATTAGTATTTCACAGACTCTGTGGAATTGGGGCTTCTGGGTCATTCAGGAAGGTAAATGTGGGTATCAGCTGGATTTTGTTTTGGCCACAGTCTGGTGACATGGATCATGACATGAATCAGTACACTGTGATACTGGAAGGAAGGAAAGATACGCTCATTTAGTCCAATAAAGTCTTTAATAAATGTTTCAAATATATTGATAAAAACAACATATGCTGCTCTGCTGAAGCTTCTCAGTTACTACAGAGACTCGGTGCTTTGTTATAGTCTGTTAGCAGTTTAAGCTAACTAACTGAGGCTAGCTGGTGAGGAGATAGAAGAAATGGGCTGTAGCCCAAAAAGGATCCCATGAGACAGTTTTCCTCTAAACTGATGTAAGAGTTTCTACAGCTGGGGACGAAGCTTCTTCCTGGTGGAGAAGAATAAAGTTCTGAAGGATGAACTGGAGGAAAAACTAATTTTCCTATTTTATACAAACAGTCCCTGTACTCTGCAACACCACAGCACAACAGGAAACTTTGCAACTATTAGAATCAGTCATGGATGTAATCTACATTATTCTGATGATTGATTTATTCTTAAATAGGTGAAAAATGTAAATATTAAAAAGCAGAGGATCAATTTTCTGTTTGAAATGACTACAGGTAAGTTGTGTTCCCGGTACTTCAGCATCTAGCTAGTGCTGCAGAAGAGGAGTGAGCATAAAGGGAGTAACGTTTTTTAGGTGTCAGGTAATCTGACACAGTGTGTTGCTAGGTAAAGATCCAGCTGCTGTATTTTACAGGGAGAGAAAAGAAAGAGAGCTTCACTCAGAGATGGAGAAAGATAAGAAAGACAGGACAGGAGAGGAAGAAGAGCGCTTAGATTTAAAGGGAAGGACTGCTCATTTACAGCTCACATGTAAGTCCTCGTGTTTTTAAATCTGTACATGTGACATGTGACAAACTGAGGCAGACTGTGTTATTTAAAGGCTGCATGAAAATCAGGTTAGTTTGCTGCACTGTGGTGGATTTACAGTAAAGAACAGTGTGTGACTGATGCACAGTGGCTGTGGTTTCATGGTCACAGTTAGCTTATATCAAGTGTAGCAGAGATTCATATGAATTTCAGTTGATGATGGTTGTATAGTGTCTAATATAAAGACAGTACAAACAGTGTACTGTCAGAGTAGGACAACTCAGGAAACATCTGCTCACATCTGTTTGAATTCTGGTGTGTACATCCACAAAGAGAAGCAGGTCAGGTGATCACAGCCTGTACACTACAAAAACACACACACACACACACACACACACACACACACACACACACACACACACACACACACACACACACACACACAGCTAAATACACTTTAACCCGTGAATGTACACATTTTCCTGTTTAGAGGTAAAGTCCCCCTCTACAGTGGAGGCACTAGAAAACAAAAATATCTCTATTTTACT